CGATTTGATATCTCAAATAAATTTTGATATCAAAATATTTACTTTATATAAACGTGAGTTCCGTGTATGAAAATGCAATTTTCAGTTATTGTTCTTTTTCGAAATATGTATAATTATTTTGTATTTTAATAGAATTTTTCCTATTACATAAATAGTGATTTTTTTTTAAATTAGAGAAACTGATTTTTACATAGTGGGGTCATTTTCCGAGAGGAAAAAAGACCCAAAGAATATTTCTATACCTATATAAATGATTTCAAATTAAAATTACAATTTACATTTTACAAAGAAAAATATTAAGTACTCTAGAATGCTTTTGTGAACTCTTTTTTCCTATGCGATAATAGCTTTAATTTGATGAAAATGAAAGAGAAGTGTTCTTTTTATTACTCTCAGGATTTTAGTTTTAGAATACTATTTTTTTTCTATTTTTGAAAAGAACTGAAATAATTAAGTTTTTTTCTAATTATAAAAATTTTTTTGAAAATAACTTAACAAAAAAAAAATTTCTAAAATGAATTATATGTATATTATTCAAAATAAAATTATTTTTCAATAAAATTCTAGAAGAAACATGTATAATAAAAATTAATTTGTTTCTATAGCTTGAAAAATATTTTTCGAAATATTTTATTCACACGTTTCGCTTCGCATTTGATCAATTGCATATCACTGATCAAATTTTCTTCAATTTTATATGCGCATTTTTTAACCTCATGCATATATGCGATTCAAAAAAATTTATCATCTATTTTTTCTTAATTCTCTTCCACTATACTAAACAATGTAATTAAAATAAAAAAAAAAGAAAACAATAAAATGGAAAATTTTATTTCCTCAAGAGAACAAAATTATGATTGTACATCAGAAATTTTAAACTTTATATTAGAAACGAGTCCACGATTATATTTTAAACTTTTTCAAACTTTTTCAAACTTTAAAAAAGTTTAAAAAAAATTCTTATTCTTTTTTTGAAAATTTTCTTGTTTTTAATGGAGTTAACAACTGTTTTCTAAATTGGATTTCACTATTATTATTATTATTATTGTTAAATAAACCCGCAAATAAACTTATCTTACATTTTCTTCAAAATATATATAAGAAAATAAAAAAAGAACAAAATACCAGTATTGATTATTCTTTACACTGGTCTTATGAGGATATTTAATTATGACTATGGTTTCATAAAAAGTTAGTACTCCCTCGATTACGATTTTAATAATCTAAATGCCCTCGGGTATAATTTGAACTTAAAAAAAAAATATATATATATATACGATATTCATATATGACTATTCTAAATTGAAATTTTTTGAGATTAATGATTTTTCATTTAAAGCTGGTACAATAGAAAGTTGGATAACAAATTGTATTTGCAGATTTTATGCAAGAATTATTTTCCAATAGTATGACCTGATTTCATTAAAGCTTTTCTACTATAAAGAATTTTATTCGAGAGAAATTAATATCTTGTTCAGGTTGTTACTTTAATTTACCCTCCAACTACATACTATATATACAATATTCATCTCTTCCTTAAAAGGTTAAAATTAAGTAAATGAACTTTTAATCTGAATAACGTTTATAGCATTCTTTATATATATATATAGTTGAATCGATTTCATTTATCTAAAAGTTTCTTTTATATAAAAGCAATTTGAAAAAAGCTTTAATTAAAATTACATTGAAAATAAAAAATTTTCAAAATAATTAATTCCTTGACTAATATATATATATATATATATGAAATAAATATTTAATAACTTAACTACGTTAAGAAAATTAATATTGGTTAGAAAACATTATAATTAACCAAAAAAAAATCAATTCAACAGTGAAAATGTTTTTAAATTGCTTTCTTAACAGTTTCTTATAATAAAGCATTTCATATAAGCGCGCTTTTTTTTGCCAATGGGAGAATTATCATGGCGCATGCGCAGTTGCGTTTATATACAGTCATTGGCAATTCTTTGTGACGGGCCCTGAAGAAAGATATCTAAAATGTAAAAAATTATACGTTGTATTTTGAAAGTTTTAAGTAAAAATGTTCATGTTTGGAGTATTTATTACATTTAAAATATTCAATAAAAACTGATTTTCATTTTAGATAAATAAAATGGATATTTTAATCAATTTAAAACTGTCGTAAATATAATAAATAATTCGTTTGCTTCTTCCATTTCTTCAGAGCGCGTCACAGTTAGACTAACCAAGTACAACCAAAAACCCTTAAGAACTACTTAATTTCAAAGCTTCTAGAAATACTGTAATTTATTTAATGAGCTGCAATAAAGAATTAAATGAAATAGTCCTAATTAAATTTCTTTCTTTTTTTTTTAATTTAGTAAGCATTGCACTCTCTTCTATAGAGTTATAGAGAATGTCAGCAATATAAGATGAAATGATGTCGTTTATGCATCAAGCGTAGGATTCAAAGATCCATTTACTGCTCTCGTTTCTTTTCCAATTGTGTGCATTGCTTCCCTGACAGAGATATTTTTACTTTATAGAGCCAATACCCGATGAAATAGAATATTTCACGCTCATATATGTACGAACATTTTGCGTCAAGTGTTATAATAATTTTTACATTTCTTTACGATATATTGACGTTTATCATATATCAAAATTGTAAAAATCATTTTTCTTGAAAGAAAATTTTTAGAATCTTTTCGATATTTATAGAACACATGATCTCAGGTGATTTTTTCTTTAATTCAATTGGATTTAATTAATTTCATTAAATTCATAAAGTGAAAGTTAAGTTTCTGATAGGATAACAATAACCTCTATAGACGATAATATAGTTAGTTCAAATGTACTTTCATTCATTCCACTTGTTGTTGTTTCATGCGACCTTCAAAAGCATGAGCCAAAATTTCTGAACGTTCAAATGAACAAAATATTTTTTTTAATTTATAAATTATTAAAAATTATAACGACAATGTAAAATAAAACAATAAATTAAACAATTATTAAATTATTAACTTCTTTTTAGATATTTAAAACAATATTTTGTAATAAAATTCATACTTAAAGAAGTTGCAAAAAACATTTCGTTCATTTGAACGTTCAAAACTTTTGGCTCATTTAAAAGCATCCAGTGAATCGAACGAGAGCAGAAGTCACTATTCACCATTGAGTTTGAGTGTCGAGGGTGTTCACAGTGCGCCAAAAAGTGGTTTAAATAAAAATGAATTGTCACTTAAAAATTCTTTTTGATTATGATTCTTAGATGAATAACAAACATTTCTCAATAGTTTTTAAAATCAGTTTACGTGCCCGATTTAAATAAAATTGAGTTTTTATATAAAAACAGTGTTTTATGGGGAATCAGAATTTATTTAATCTAATAAATACTGTAATAAATGATAAAATAATTACTTATTTTCAATTTTACATATAAATAATTATATTGCTGTAGTGTTTGTGTCCAATTTTAAAAAATTAAATTATAATGTTAAAAGAACGATTTTAAGAGTGACAAAATTTATTTAAGAGAGTCGAAATTTTTTGGCAAGAAGAGACCTTTAATTATCGCTCTATAAAAACGGCACTAAACCTGAAAATGATAAACATTGATTTTAAAATACTTTCTTCTCGAAAGACAGACACTTTTTACAAAAGCAGCTAGAGATCGTTATCTTATATAAATTTCCTAAATCCGAAAGATTATGCGAATCCATACAAAAACACGATTGCAAAACGAAAAGTAATATAATGACAGGTTCATTACCTCCTGCCGCCGTCAGATGGCAGCAGCATGCATGGCGCACAAAGTCGCAGCTGTTATTAGATTACTTTTCTACTTTTTGTTTTGCAACCCTGTTTTTCTATGGATTCGTACAGTCTTTTGGATTTAGGAAATTTATAAGATGAGGATTTTGGCTGATTTTGTTAAAAGTGTTCGTGTTTCGAGAAAAAAGTATTTTAAAATCAATACTATTTCACGTTCAGAGCGATAATTAAAGCTCTCTTCTTGCCAAAGAATTTCAGATACCGTTCGACACTCTTAATGCATAAATATAAAAACAAAACAAGAAAATAACTTCATTGTTAATAAATTTATATGAACCCAAATCTAAAACATCTATTATCTATACGCATATAAGTATACATTAAATAAATTCTGGTTCCTCACAAAAAAACTATTTTTAAATATTTAAAACTCAATTTGTTTTAAATTGGGCACGTAAGCTGATTTTAAAACCTATTGAGAAAAGTTTTTTATTCATCTTAGAACCATAATCAAAAAGAATTTTTAAGTGCCCTGCATGCTGCTGCCATCTAACGGCGGCAGGAGCTAATGTACCTGTCATTATATTACTTTTCGTTTTGCAATCGTGTTTTTTTATGGATTCGCATAATCTTTCGGATTTAGTAAATTTATATAAGATAACGATCTCTAGCTGCTTTTGTAAAAAGTGTCTGTCTTTCGAGAAGAAAGTATTTTAAAATCAATGTTTATCATTTTCACGTTAAGTGCCGTTTTTATAGAGCGATAATTAAAGGTCTCTTCTTGCCAAAAAATTTCAGAGACCATTCGACTCTCTTAAATAAATTTTGTCACTCTTAAAATCGTTCTTTTAACATTATAATTTAATTTTTTAAAATTGGACACACACACTACAGCAATATAATTATTTATATGTAAAATTGAAAATAAGTAATTATTTTATCATTTATTACAGTATTTATTAGATTAAATAAATTCTGATTCCTCATAAAACACTGTTTTTATATAAAAACTCAATTTTATTTAAATCGGGCAAGTAAACTGATTTTAAAAACTATTGAGAAATGTTTGTTATTCATCTAAGAATCATAATCAAAAAGAATTTTTAAGTGCCAATTCATTTTTATTTAAACCACCTTTTGGCGCACCGTGTGTTGTCCTATTTAATATTTTAATAGTGAGACTATCTTTTTTTTCGTTGAAATTATAAATATATATCTTTAAATTTAAAAAGTATATTAATTAAAGTTAAAATTTTTTTCAGTTGCTGCTACATTTTATCCACATTCTTAGGATTTAAAAGATGAACTTGACCAATTGCTGCATATATTAAGGTATGTAATTATAAATTACAGAATTTAAAAATATTACAATAAAAACTTGGGTAGACAAAGAAAAGAAACGAGCAAATCTTAGAATTTCAGTAAACTTCATTTAGAGAAAAAGTTTATTTGACTTAACCAAACAGTTTAATTAACCTATTTTGTTTGATACATTTAAAAATATTAATTAAAATTTGAATTATTCCATTGTGAGCATACAATTCATTTAGTTAATTAACGGAAACAACATTTTTATTTAGATGTCATTATTTTGTTTAATCCTTTTAGGAACCGTGATGCTTTCAGGTAACATGAACATTTTTTTGTTATCTCATGCATGAGTTCCTTGATTTTGAAAACTGAACCCGAGTAGAAATTTGTAATGGCCCAATGTTGCTTACAGGCAAAATTGCAAATTGACACGACAAACTACTTTTTCAAAATTTTTGCTGCAATTTTTTGTTTTGTGTGCTTTTTATTACAAGCAGTTGGTCGTTAGCAATTGTTTGTCTAGTGCAGAGGTGAAAAAAATTGCTTACCAAAGAGAAAAAAAATAATAATTTAAAAACATTTAAGAACACTAAGAAAAAGAAAACCCTTGCAACATGTTTACAGCCTTTAAAAAAATTTAGGTCATCTCAAATTAATTTGGACCTGATTATTCATTTTAAAAGTAATTTAGCTCATACAATGCAAAAATTTGTTTCATTTAACCAAAATTATTTGGTTTTCCCATCAATTTTCTATGCATTGAAAGAAAAAGTAATAAAAATATAAATTGGTATAAATTCTAGGTAATGAAATTCTGCCAAATGAAAATTCTATAACAAATTAATATTAGAGCTTTTTTATGCGTCTCATAACTTTTTTCTTAATGATTTTTTCGAATTTTGATCCTTTATGGTTATGCTAATCATATTATTGGAAATGTAAAGTTACATTTCATACCTCCAATATAGAATCTCGTGTGTCGAAAAGAAGCACTAATTCGGGACGATCCAAAACTGGAAGATCTCTTCTTCGAAAGGTTGTGTAGGAAAGTGGCGTACAACGTGTAAAACTAATCAAGGTGGTTGTTGCTATTACACCAATTAGAATCATCATGTGTTCGGTTACTGTGATACGTCTATTTCGCTGAAACATTAAATATAAAAAGTTTTTCAATTTAACGTAAATAAAATATTTAATTTAAACATAAATTTTAGTTGATTTTAAATTATACATAATATTAAATCAGACATAAATTTTAAATATATATAGTTTTTGCTTAAGGGTTAGAATTTCTCAAGTGGACCTAAAATTAGCAATAAGGTTGGAATTAATCAATGTAATGAATTAATGTTTGTAATAAACAATTATTTTTAACAACAAACAAAGAGTTTTGGAAAACGTAAAAATTTTATTTATGGTTGATTCTCTCAAAAAAGGGCAAATCAAATCGTGCACGATTTTAGACCGTGTTTTTGTTAAAAAATAATAAAATTAACTTCAATTAATAAAAATCTGTCAGCCATACTACACTTAAAGTAGTAGTTTTAATTGGAAACGATTTGTAAATTCTACATCAAAAATCTTCATTAAGTTTATCGAATTAATTAAAATAGTAAAAATCTACTACTTAAAGTCGTAGTTTTAATTACAGACGAGTTGTTAATTCTACAACAAGAAATTTTATTAAAGCCTATAAAACCATAGAAATTAATAAAAAATTGACTACTCAAAAAGCAGTTATATTAATTAAACCCAATGGGAAAAATACCATTGGCGTATTAATGGCCCAATAATGGGAGCCAGGGATGCCAATATAATTCCAATAATGGCACCCAATAATGGACCATTATTGGTAAAGTCATGGGCTGTCCACGCCGATGCCAATGATTGGCAACCATCATTGGCAAATTATTGGCAACCAATAATTAGCCAATATTAAAAATTTTAATAATAATTTAAAAAATCAATAATTTAAAAAAAATTTATATTTTTATTATTTTTTAATAGTTATTATTATTATTATTTTATTTTTAATAATTAAATTAAAATAAAAAAATGGTCATCAAAGTATTAGTGAAACTATTTTTTCCAAAAAAGAGTTTGTCTCAAATCCAATTAATAGGAGAGACATCGGGCAGAAAAAAATTTCGACGAGAAAAAAATTTTAGATCACTGCTTATATACCAATCAAGTGGCATCTCAACTGCGAGAAACAGTGATGTTCGCCCTCCCTTTGCGGCGTTGAGTGAACTAAAGTCCAGAGCTGAGCCATCAGCGCAGCGCGGGAACATTTAAAAAATTTGATTTTATGAGATATTTTATTTTATAATAATTAACGAATTATTAAGTATGACATTATGTTATTAATAATTATTAATGACATTAATTATTTATTAAGTTAATTATTTGTCATATTTAAAATAAAATAAAATATCTAATAAAATCAAATTTTTCAAATGTTCCCGCGCTGCGCTGATGGCTCAGCTCTGGACTTTAGTTCACTCAACGCCGCAAAGGGAGGGCGAACATCACTGTTTCTCGCAGTTGAGATGCCACTTGATTGGTATATAAGCAGTGATCTAAAATTTTTTTCTCGTCGAAATTTTTTTCTGCCCGATGTCTCTTCTATTAATTGGATTTGAGACAAACTCTTTTTTGGAAGAAATAGTTTCACTAATACTTTGATGACCATTTTTTTATTTTAATTTAATTATTAAAAATAAAATAATAATAATAATAACTATTAAAAAATAATAAAAATATAAATTTTTTTTTAAATTATTGATTTTTTAAATTATTATTAAAATTTTTAATATTGGCTAATTATTGATTGCCAATAATTTGCCAATGATGGTTGCCAATCATTGGCATCGGCGTGGACAGCCCATGACTTTACCAATAATGGTCCATTATTGGGTGCCAATGGTTTTTTCATTGGCTCCCATCATTGGGCCATTAATACGCCAATGGTTACTCGTGGCAGTTTCCCATTGGGAAGAAAATAATTCCTTTTACTACATTTCATATAACTGGTGAATAGTAGTTGGATTTACTACTCTTCAAATTTTGAGTTGACTACAATTCCACTTGTTTTTACTACCTTAAGAATGTTAATTTTACTATCGACCTGTAGTTGTACTTTAACTACATATTTACGTAAAATCAACTATTACTTATTAACTTCTTAAAAATAGTTACATTAACTACATGAACATGATTAAATTAACTAAAAAAGTAGTTATTTTAACTACTTTCTAGTCAACTACCCAATGGTAGTTAAATTTCTCGGCAACATTTTTTTCAGTATAGGAAAAATTGATTTAAAATTTGTTCTTCAATTTTTGAAATTAAAATTAATCGAATTTTCAAAATGAATACCACGATGTCAAACGACATTAACTTTACTACAAAATCCGCACCTAATTTCCCTCGTTTAATGGATTTTTTTATAAAATTGTATTATTTTAAAGTAATATTGAAAAATATTACTTTACACTTTACGTAAGATGCCCCATATGTTAGTTTTATTGCAACTGCAGAAATGATTAATTCAATTGATAATAGCAATTATAATTATAAAACACTTGATAATTTTCATAATTTATTCAATATTTTGAAATTTTTTACAACCAACCTCCAACTTCCGTATACATTAGATTACATACCTTATACTAGATTTATGACTAAGAATTAGTCAAAATGATTACTAAATTAATTTAATAAACAAATCAGCGATGTTAAATTATAGTCAAAAGTGACTAATTCAGATTTAGAGGGCAGACTTCTAGCCGTCTTTACGCAAAAACTATTACCTTAACCCTTAAATTACACACTGAGTAAAAATCGCTTATGTATTTTTTAAAATTGGAGGCCTTCTTTGAAAACATGTCATTTCTTTTTAAATATTTTTAAGACAATTAATTTTATATCAATAAAACTATATTTTTCCTAATTTTCTATAGTTAAAAAAAATTGACTGAATTTCAACTTTTTAAGCAAAAGATTAGCTTTCAAAATACACGGAAAAAAATTTTCTGGTAATTCTTTAACATCGATTTGGAGATTTTACATGTTCCTAAATCTGTTAATTCTACAGATATTTTCTGTAAGGATTTAACGCATGCGCGAAAACATTGCAGTGATTCGACTAAGGCTGAGTACGATTGAGTGCGAGAGGTTAAGGCGAATTTAGTGTTTTTATTATTATCATAGTGTCGGCAAGAATGTTTAATTAAAAAGGAAACGTCTTAAGTATATAAACATTATTATAGAAATAAATTATTACAAATTTTTTATTTTAAAATTAACTGTAGTGATTAAGTGAGAAAAGTCGTTTGTTTTAATTTCTCGACATAAGAAAAAGTGGATTTATCATAAGTTTTGAAAACTTGCTCCTCATTTTTATTGTTAGAAAATTATTGAAGGATGAATTTATTTACATAGAAGTTATACTAATTTATACAATAATGTTCCGCGAATTTAATGTATTCGGAGGAGAATATAACCTATAAGAAATACTCTACCAAATATATATTATCCCCATATAGTATACATAATTTGGTCACTCGACAGTTTTTAAGAACTGTAGCTCAAACTTGTAGAATTAACAGATTTTAATGCCAATGATTCTACATATTTCTCTATTTAGAGAAACATCAGTAGATGGCGCAGGAGTTTCTGTAAATTCTACAGAAAATTTCTTTCCGTGTATATCACGAAGTACAAATCACTTATTTTTTGTATCGAACGTAAGTTAAGTGTGTACTTTAAGGATTACAACTGACCTTTAACCCTTTTACAACAATTTTTATTATTCATATTTTATCTTTAGAATTTACAAACTATTAAAGTTAAATCTTTTTTTAATGTATCTAAAATTCATTAATTTTAACATAATAATAAAATTGACCATAAATTTTTTTTTAAATGCGCATTACTTTTTATTCTCATAAAATTTTTATTTGTTTACAATAAACGGAACACGATTGTAATTAATTTGAATGGAGGTTTTTTATTCTAATAAATATTCGGAAAATTGGACAACTTTTTAAGAACAAGTTTGCATATAATCTTGAACTGCTCTTTCTATTTTGTTAAATTGGTATTTTCAGGGAAACTGTACGTTTCATTGCCTGTTGCTTCTTCCGTTTCTCTCTCGAGTTCACAACGTCACTTCAAGATTAAGTTTGTAGTTCGCAAAGGCTTTTAAAGCCGAACTTCGGAAATGGAATACTCATTTCCAGTTTAAGTTCCTAGACATTTACAATGAAATGTCAGACAATTTATACTGCAACTTTCATTAAAAGCAATGCTTTCGAATTATTAAGTGTCTTTATTTATAAAGAGGCCATCTCATATTAAAAAGTGTAAAAAAAAAAAAAAAAAAAAAAAAAAATGCCAATAACTTTTTCAGAAGTAAGAAAACATTTCTTTTAAAAATATTTTGTTTACTCGAATTAAACAATATTATGTAAATATCGAATGCTAATTTAATAATAACATATTAATAAAATAAAAATATAATAAATTTCGTTTTAATACCTCGTTTAATACTATATATTTAAAAGAAGATTTTCAATTTCATTCACTTGTCAAAGTACTTCTATGTTCGATTTATTGTTAAAATTCAATACTAAATGTATACGATTAAACAATTCGTGTGAATAAATTTTCCAAGCGAACAAATAAATTGAAGAATATAGGAGACATTTTGCAAAATTAGATTTAAATTGAGCGCGCGTGAAGGCGACTCTTTTCTTTTTCAAATGCAACGTAAAAAGAGAAGAAAAAAAAGGATATTCAGGATTCTTTTTTTAACGTCAAAGAGAGACAAATTAATTACAAGAGACCGGATGGTAACCTGTATTTGACGCTTATCACTATGCAGTCAACTGATAGAGAACGTAAAACACTGTAATTCGATCACCACGAGAGTTCGTTAATTAATTTAACCCTGATGGTCAAGAGAAAAAAATTGAATATCAAAATTATTGTCTATATGAAAATTAAAAAAACCACACACACACACACACATGATTTTGAATATAGGGAAAATCGATTAATCAATAAATCGGTAAATTGAACGGAAATCAGTTAAATTACAATGCTAATAAACTTGAGGGTAAAAGGCGCATCTCGTTGCA